GCCCCCCCCCCCCTAAGATCTTAGAAAATACAAGTATATAGTTATATGTTTCTGTTATTGTCAAGAATTACCTTCATCATTTGTCTTTTTACTATGGAAATTGCCTTATGCTCGATGATGGAAGTAATTCTGCTCAACCGACTTAGCGGATTTTTTCCGCATGGTACGAGTACATGATGGATTTTGATACTGTGGTGGTCGGTAGGATATTAGCGAAGTGTACGTACGTAGACTTGTACATGATTTCCTACTGTTGCAAAATTAGTTGCATTATTGATATACTTGGTACTCGTACTGGTCGTTACGTACGGTACGTGTTAACAAAAAAACAAAAAAATTGATTGTTGATCGTGTTGCTGATTGACCTCGGATTCCACGATTGAAAGAAAGATTCTTCATTGAACGAGAACGAGTACCTGGTACACGTAAGAGTACTCGTACGTACTGTAGTGATCCGTATACAGGTACGAGTTTGAGTGAATCGACTGGATCGAATCTATTCTATTTTTTTATTTCCGGTGACATCATTGGTCAATGCAATCACGTTCTGCAATGGCAATTCGAAGACGAACATGGAATATCCGAATTCTTCATCTTTCGGCTCAATTCTGTCAAGTGCTAACATACCCATCGTTTGCGATGCGATACGACACGATACGATGCGACACGACACGACACGAGAATCGAATACCTTTTGCTCTACATCAGAACGAGTCATTAAATAGTCAAGAGAAAAGATCCAACAAGATACTATTCAACATCATACAAACATTCCCGACACTATCATCACAAATCTGCGCCATCACAACAGAAGCACTTTATTCTTCCAATCGAATCACTTGAATCCAATCCTCCGATATTATTCGTAACCACCGAAGCGAAACAGTATCCAATCTACATCATATCATCAAGTTAGATCCCATCATGTCCGACAAAACAGAACCCGTCGTCGTCGACAATTACATTTCCGGTGTCTTTGTCCCCCCGTCCACCAACGACTACATGGACGTGATCAACCCTGCCGATGCCAAGACCATTGGAAAGGTGGCGGTATCGGCTTCCTCTGACGTGGACGACGCCGTTGTCTCGGCTTCCAAAGCGGCCGCAGCATGGGCCAACCGCACGATCAAGCAGCGGGCCGCGGTGATGATGAAATTCCACACGCTGGTTCAGCAGCACGCAAAGCCGCTTGCCGAACTCATTGTCAAGGAGAACGGCAAGAATCTCACGGAGGCTCTGGCCGACGTCGCCAAGGGTAACGAGACGGTCGAGTGGGCCTGCTCGCTGCCCCAGTTGGCGCCCGGAACCACGCTACGGGTTTCGGGGCAGGTATCCTGCACCGATCGCAGGGATCCACTCGGGGTGGTGGCCTGCATTGTCCCGTTTAATTTTCCCTTTATGGTTCCCATGTGGACGGTGCCGATCGCCCTGGTAATGGGGAACACGGTCGTCCTAAAGCCGAGCGAAAAGGTTCCGCTGACCATGCACTACGCCGCCGATCTCTTCAAGCAGGCCGGACTCCCCGACGGGGTTTTCAACATGGTCCAGGGCACGAGGGCATGCGTCGAGGCCCTGGTCGACCACCCGGACGTGAAAGCGGTCACCTTTGTCGGATCCTCCCCTGTGGCCAAGATCGTGGCCCAGCGCTGCCGGGCCCTGCCCGAACCGAAACGGTGCACGGCCCTCGGTGGTGCAAAGAACCACCTGGTGGCCCTGGAGGACTGCGACGCCGAGGGAGCCGCGGCGGATATCACCGTGAGCTTTGCGGGCTGCGCGGGCCAGAGGTGCATGGCGGCCTCGGTGCTGCTGACGGTGGACGAGGGAGGAGCGGGCGAATCCGAGCCCGCGGCCGGGACCGAGCTGGTGCAAAAGATTGTTTCCACGGCCTCGGCCATCAAGGCCGGGAGCGGACCCGGCGAAATGGGGCCCGTCATTGACAAGGTTTCGTACGAGCGGATTCTTTCCTACATCGACCACTCGATCGAAAAAGGCGCGGAGGTCCTCCTGGACGGACGGAGCTGGAAGCGAGACAATGGATTCTGGATTGGTCCCACAATCCTCAAGCACACCAACCCCGAGGAAGACAAAACGCTCTCGGAGGAGGTCTTTGGGCCCGTCCTTAGCGTGTAYCCGGTGGACAGCTGGGAAAAGGCCGTTGCTATCGAGAATGCCAGTCCGTTTGGAAATGCTGCGTCGATCTATACCACCCACGGCGGCAACGCAGAATGGTTCACCTCTCGTTTCCGGGCTAGCATGTTGGGGGTCAACATTGGGTGCGTAACGCCACGCTGTTTAGTGTGTGTTTCCTGGTTTGGAATCAAATCGATGGTCGGACCGATTTTGGTCCGTCACGTCGTGGATTTCTGTTTTCCAAAATACCAACCTATTGCTTATGAATAATCTTGCCATTGAAGTGATATGCCACGAATGTGTCCGCGATTCTAAACATCGTTGTTGTTTTTTCTATTTTTTCTGTCTCTGGTTTCGAATGGTGGTGTGCCGCCGAACCCGCAACGCAGAATACCCGTACCCCGMGAGCCGTTTTCCTTCGGAGGTYTGTACGGAACCCGGAGCAAGTACGGAGACATGGACATTACCGGCGACGGTGCCATGGAATTCTTTTCCAACCGGGTCAAGGTGACCAGCAAGTGGCCCGTCGTGCGGGGTCCGCTCTCCCGCAAGCGTGGTCGTTCCGGGGACGCACCCGTCGCCACGAACGGCTCTCACAACGGAACCCACAACGRATCCTACCACGGATCCGATGCCGCCACGGAACCGAGAGATGCGGCCAATTTTGCGGGGCAGATGTAACGCACCCATGAGAGGGTCGGAACGGATGCATAACAGGTCAGCACGGGAAAAGATCCGAAGCACGACTCTCCTGCCACCGCTTGCCGCCTGCTCAGTATGCCTCTGTTTGGAAAGGCAGGTTCRAGCCCTTGGGGGAGATTCTAGTCGATGCTGCATTGGATTGRTCCCCCTGCATTAAAATTTAACTAGTTTAAAATTTTACTGTTATTCTTTACGAGTGCCTAGTGAGTACTTTTTTCTATTTTCTATACATGAGAAGAGCTCACATTTTCATTACTTCACGTACGAGATGGTAGTCATTGCGAATTCACRTGTTACATGCTAGGCTACCGGATGGGACCACGACGCTTCGTTTGCCTCTTGGACAACAGGAATTGCTGAGTATGCCTTTCTCGCSCTTCTTYCCGTCGATTCGGAAGAAGAGATCCTTCGKCTTCTTGATAGTGCGCCGTAGGCTGGAGGTAGGATGTTCCAGAACACAGTGTGGCCCAAAGTGTCCCACAGATGTATGATAGAAACAGTATGATAGAAACAGTATTCATTTTCGATCCGTCCTCTTCGAAGGTCAGCAACTCCTCGAAAACGTCTCGTCTGGTTTATGGTTTTAATGGTTTTAGATTTTTCACGACTGGAAAATGGTTTTAAAACCATTTTTCGTCGTTGTTTTTGTACCAGCTCTACGCAACTGGTTTCCGTTTCGAAGTGGTTAGCGATCGATGAAACCACTCCCCGCAGTAAACCAAGTGTGTCTCCAGTAGAATTTGTACYATGCTCTACGAGAGGGAATCCGCAAAGTTTGTCGRATTCGTCKAAATGCAAAAAGAAAATTCACTTTTTGCTCATTGCGACCCATTTCGACCCACTTTGCTTGTCATTTCTCTCTGCTCACAATCGCATTCAGAGGATGATCACCTCAGTGTAAATGCCTGAATCAACCAGCGGGTAGTGTTTGGGTAAGGGAAGTAGCCTGGCAAAGACCAGGACGCTTGGGGGAGACGACCATGCATGCGGCATGGAAGTCTCTCAACGTGTAACACCCCTCCCATTCACCATGATCCTTATTTAGCTGGAAGACAGGATAGTCGTAAGTGGAACCCTGAGGGGCGGGATAAGGATTGGGAACCCATGGCCGTTGAACTGGAAAGAGCTAGCCCTTGTTGCTGCTAGCCCCCTGCCAGGCGGAAGACCGTGGCCAATCCGACTCTAAATTGAGTGCCCGCCTTAAACAAGGCCCTGACAAAGCATGTTAATCGTGATCTGGACCACACCGCTGGGAGGCGCGCGGTGTGGTTCCGCACTCTGAAGGTGAGGGAGAATGTAAACGCCAGTGTAAACCACCAAGGGCCGTAGACCATTGCATAGGAAGTAGCCTACCACAGAGGGGGACGCTAGGGTAAAATCTGATGAGCGATTCAGCAGATGGAAACCTGACAATCCTATAGCAATGGGGCTTCAACTTGGTGGGCTGGTTAGTCACACGCAAAAGCGTGAGAAGRCAGATGCATGGAGATTATCATATCCGGTAATTATTTAGGGTAAGGTTGGGGTAGCGGTAGCCGTGCCTAGCACAGGGCCGACCCCTCCGCCCKCCGGAACAGTGTCGAATAGCCTGTGGGTACACATGATCATCTTGTCCTGACATACATTCTCTCTCTGGGCACCGAGGCAGTAGCCGAGGGAACCTAAAGAAGCAACAGCAAAAAAAACAAAAAAAAACAACAATCAACCAACGGAGCGGAGCGGAGCGACGAAAACCGGAGCAACGGTAAGTGCAGATGGAAGCGGAAATTGCAACGAACGCGCCCCGGTTGCGGTTGCGGTTCGATTCGATTTGCCCATTGCTTATACCGCTCGGGTTCTGTTCCGAAACGATGCCAAATCGATGGCAAATGATTCGCCGGCAATCCACCATGCAGGTGCGAAGACACGGTGGGTTACACGTGTACGATAGAAAAAGTGTTGATCGTTTTAGTATTGGTATTAGTTCTAGTATTCGCAAAATGTGTTCCCGTGACGAGTGAGTGTGGCATTGTTTCTTTTGGTTGCTTGGTTTGTTTYGCACGATTGTGTGACTCAACGTCCCTGCGCAATGCATGGATGGAAGGAATGGATGGAATGCACAAGTGGAAATCGCGCATGGAATGGAATGGAACGACCGCGCAGGCGGATTTCGGAGCAACGGTGCTTGGGGCTGGGTGTGAAATGCGGTGCGGTGCCCGGGGTGCGATGCATGTGTCGCGTGGCGTGGTGTGGTGTGGCGTGGCGTGGCAGCCTGTGGCGTGCCTTCGGGGGCGTTTTGCCTTCCCGTCCGGTGTTGCAAAACCACGACCGTGCGTGTGCCTTTCAACAAAGGGTGTGTGACCAAGCCATTGCGGGTTYTCTGGTGTTTCGGTTGTGGCGATGCGATGCGCTGCGACGCGATGCGCTGCACTGCCTTGCCATCGCCTGGTGCTCGGTGTGAATGGCAGTGGAGCTTTGCGGGTGGTGGGCACCTTCCTAGCGGCCCGCCCCCCGGCGGCGTCCGCTCCTTTGCTTCCGCTCTCGCCGCTGGTCCAGTTTCTTCCTCCAGGCGGCCCTCCGCTCGGCCCGCCAGTATCTGTGCTTTTTCGCCGCCTCCGAGGCGGCCTCGAGGGAAAAGACGGCTTTCGAGAGGAAATTCTTGAGAACGACGCCGGCCGAGGCCGCCAGGGGAAAAAAGACCAAGGGTTCTTTTTCCCTTGCCTCCGGCGACCCGACCAGGTAGGACCAGACCTCCGCGGACGGGGGGAGGGCCAGCACCGAGGCCAAAGGGGCCGGCCCCTCCGCGGCCCTCGAGGGTGCCCCTTTTCCCCCGTGGGRAAGCTCTTGCGAAACGGTGGTGGTCGCTGCCGTCGCCGTCGCCGCGGCCTCGGCCACGTCCGCGAGGATTTTCTTGGTGGTGTCGAGCACGGAAGCGGTGGCCGCCGTGGTGGAGTTGTGGGCAGTGGCGGTGGCGGTTGCAGTGGCCTCCGCCACGTCCGCGAGGATTTTCTTGGTGGTGTCGAGCACGGAAGCGGTGGCCGCCGAGGTGGAGTTGTGGGCAGTGGCGGTGGCGGTTGCCGTAGCGGTAGCCGCGGCCTCGGCCACGTCCGCGAGGATTTTCTTGGTGGTGTCCAGCACCGAAAGGGTGGAGTTGTGGGCGATGTCGTTGGCGTTGTCGTTGGCGTTGTCGTTGGCATTATGCTTGGAATTGGCAGGCCGCGAACGAACCACCGCATCGCCGGGCTTGGGTTTGGCCTTTGTGTTGGCTGTCGTCTTTGCCTCGGGCTGCTCTTGTTTTGCCTTTGCCTTTGCCTTTGGCGTTGCTTTTGCTTTTGCCTTGGCGTTTGCGTTCGCCCTGGCCTTTGCGTTTGATGCCACGGTTTCTTTCGCGTTCGGTGGTTCCACCACGACAGACGGCGCGGGCTCGAAAAGGGGAACCGGCACCAGCGACGAAAGCAGCGGCGGCAGCGACGACGACGAAAACAGCGACGAGGAAAGGCCCGTTCCCAGAGCCCCCCCCAAGCAGCACGAATGCACCAGGGCCACAACTAGGGCCAGCGAGACCAGGCCCACGGGAGAAATCGGTGCGGCCCTTCCGGGAAGGTCCTCCTTTTCCTCGTCGGTTTCGGTTTCCTCGTCGTCGGTTTCGGTTTCCTCCCCGGCCAGGAGGTCGCACGCGGCCTTTTCCATCCTGGCCATGGATTCCTCGAAGCGGATCGCCCGGGGACGGAAAGGGGAGAGGGAGGCCCCCGAGGGGGCGGTGGTTTTTGTTTCGGGCTCGTTCGAAGGCGGCGCCACCGAGCCGGAAAACGAGCCGCTTCCGAGGGAGGCCTCCGTGGACACCGTGGCGGGGGTGGCGGCGACCGCCYCGGGGGCCTTGGCCTTGGACTCCCCCTCCCGGCTTGTGGCGTGTGCGTGCGAGAGGTACTCCTGAAAMGAACTCCCGTGTGCTTTTGGGGGAACCGCACCCTCGCGGGGCTTCCCGGGGGGGGGACAAAAGGCCGGGATCGGGCAGAACATGGCGGACGCGGAGAGCTGTGCGGCGGCGATGCGGTCTCGTTCGTCGTTYCGGTTGCGAGAGAAGGGTGGTCKTTGTTTTGCCTTCCCGCGACTYKGTTTGTCCTTGTSCTTGTSSYTGTGCTTGTGCTTGTGCYTGYGACGGTTTTTGTGCTTGTGGAATCGCCGTTCGCTCGTAGGAGATCCTTCCGCGTTGCTCCGCGGAGTCCTGCTGTTCTTGTTCTTTTTGCTGCCGGTSTTGGAGCTGTTGCTGTCGTTGCTGYTGCTGTYGYTGCTGGTGTTGCTGCTGGTGTTGTCCCTGCTGCTGTTGTTGGTTTCGTCGGTGTGGAGACTTCCGGTGCCCGCCATGAACCGGAACGTATCAATGGCACTCCGGGGATTGCGTTTCGTTTCGTTYCGTTTCGGTGGGTTGCCTTTCTCGTGGGRTGCCGGTATGGTACGGTACGGTACCAGYTACGGTACGGTATGCAAATAGGAACAACGCTCAACGGAGGGGTGACGCGCCGTTTCGAACGAAAGATACCCCTCTGCGTCTGTCGCGCTTCAAGATGGACCAATCGACCGGGGTCTTCGAAGGGTGGCMGAATCGCCACTTTTTCGCAAGAGTACGAGTACGGGAAGGTACTCGTACTGAATGGTGTACTTTACTACGTCTAGTGTGGTATCCTACGGGAGTCTTGTATCTCTGCTAGCAATTCGTGTTGTGATTTATGGTTTATTGCCTCTTGTTGCGGTGYTTGCACCGGATTGGTGGGTTCTTTGTTCCGTCTTTGGCTTCGGTAGGACCGTACGAGTTCCCGTACAACCAACTAACTATTTACTGTACGTATCGGCCTGCCCATAAATCGTGCCATACCGGTACGTATCCATGMRTGGGGTTCGGAACGGTTGGGAAACCGGYATCGCACCGTGTTGCGGGAARGATGATGTCACTTTTTGGCCGGGAGCGGAGGSGAGGAACGAACGGGATGTGCCCTGTTGTACTGCGGASGTACGTACGTACGATGTCCCTATCGTGCTTCCTCGCCCCGGTCGTGTAGTGTAGTGTGCAACAAAGCAAAGGGGGCGGGAGCTGCAGCATACCGTACGGTAGCGTAGCAGCTGCACGCGGTTCCATGGATTCCCGCCAAAATCGAAACGTAGGAAAGTTGCGTACAAACCTACGGTAGCTTCTAGTAGTACCCGTACCTACGCATGCATCCTTTCAGCGATGTGCGCTCGCCAAAGAAATACTACTACGTACTCCAAATAAATGMAACACGTGAACACGTAATGGGTCCGCACACCGGACCGAAGAGCGGGCGGAGGACGAACCACGGTCGGTGTTGGTTTCTGTGTTTGGTACGTACGTAGGATATGGCATCAAGGTATGGGGAATATGTCCTTGAACCCACGATTGGACACGTGCCGTTCGAGCCGGCAGGCTTATCGGCAGAGCACGAGTACGGGTACGTAGTTTACGAGTACCATACCGTAGGCAGGATTCTACGAAACAACACACGAACAACGGGGCCGCAGTGTTGCGGAGTGAATTGCGGCGTTGTTCTTCTATGGATGCTTGTGTTTGTGTTTGTGTTTGTGTTTTTGTTTGTTGGAAAACATACAGCTCCTGCTTGGATGCTGCGCTGCTCTGTCTGCTCCTCTCCAGCAACGCGTTGCATTTCGAAGCAGCCCAAACGACCCACACCCTACCCGACCGCTACCGCTACCGCTACCGCTCGATACCACAATGCCGCTCCGGGGGAAACCGAAACCCAAGCCCCTCGCTCGGCTTGCTTCCGCCCTGCTGGTCCTGGCCCTGGCGGCCCCGCTTCGRAGGGCGGCTTCCGCTTCGGAGGCCGCCTCCGATCCGGGGGGGCTTCCCCTCCCCCCCCACCTCCTGGCGCTGAACGACGGAACCACCATGCCGAGGGTCGGCCTGGGGGTCGCCCTCGTGGGGGAAAAGACCTACGCTGCCGTCTCCCACGCGATCGGGACCGCCGGGTACCGGCTGGTGGACACGGCGGCGGAGGAATCCTACGGGAACGAGGCCGAGGTGGGCTCCGCCGTCCGGGACTTTTACCGGAAGCAAGGGACGAGCCGGGGCAGCAGCAGCAACGACAACGACAGCAGCAGCAGCAGCAACGACAACAGCAACAACAACAGCAGCAACAACAGCAACAACAACCACGACAACCACCACGTCTTTCTGACCACCAAGCTCTGGGATTCCGACCACGGATTCTACAACACGCTCCGGGCCTTTTTCGAATCCCACGCGGAGATCAACAGATACCACGTGGACGGAGRCGATGCCGGGGACGGCACCACCAATGCTGCCTCCGGCGACGACGAAGAAGAAGACGAAACAGAAGCCCTGCCCATCGATCTGTACCTCATCCACTCCCCCTTTGGCGGCAAGCTCCTGGAAACCTGGGACGCCCTCCTCTACCTGCAGAAATTCCACCCCGACAAGGTCAGATCCATCGGCGTCTCCAACTTTGGGATCGACCACCTGGAGGTCCTCCGGGAGGCCGGGAGGCCGATGCCGGCGGTCAACCAGATCGAGCTCCACCCGCTGGTCTACGGCCAGCGGAGGGACCTCCTGGACTACTGCGAGGAACAAGGGATCGTCGTCCAGGCCTACGGGAGCCTCATGCACGGGTACGACCGGTTCCTGGCCGATCCCCCGCCTGTTCTGTCGGAGATGGCAGGCCGGTACAGCGACAGCGACAACGACAACGCCGAGAAGGGCGGAAGGGCCGTCGGCGTGACCCACGTCCTCCTCCAGTGGGCCCTCCAGCACGGATTCGCCATCATTCCCAAGTCCGGCCGGACCGACCGCATCACGGACAACGTCCGGTACATCGACCTCGGAATGCAAATGCAAATCGAACAAGGGGGAGGCAGGGGAGAAGGCCTCTGGCTYTCGGGGGAGGACATGGCCCTCCTGGACGGCTGGGGGGACCACCTCCCCTACCGCCACCGGAACCTCTACAAGAGGGACTGGAACTGGAACCCGATCGACGAGGCCCCGGTCCACGCCGGGAACGCTACGGGCTACTGGCCGGGCTACGAGGGCGTCGACCCGGAGGGCCTGGCCGACCGGCTGGACGACGACGACGACGGATACGGCGACAACGACAACGACGACCCTGGACGGCTGGGGGGACCACCTCCCCTACCGCCACCGGAACCTCTACAAGAGGGACTGGAACTGGAACCCGATCGACGAGGCCCCGGTCCACGCCGGGAACGCTACGGGCTACTGGCCGGGCTACGAGGGCGTCGACCCGGAGGGCCTGGCCGACCGGCTGGACGACGACGACGACGGATACGGCGACAACAACAATGACGACAACGACAACGACGACGACAACGACAACGACGACGATGGATACGGATACTACGGAAGCGAAAGCCAGAGGAGGCGAAACGCGGGAAAGAAATTCGACGAGCTGTAAGCAAGCCGGCGCACCGCGAACGGCGAGCGAGCGCTGCGGGTCCGTCGCAACGCCAAGCCAAAGCCAGAGCCAAGCCAAAGCCAGAGCCAGGCCAATCGAGGAAGGTTGGGACCGACCGGGCTTTTCCGAGCCAGAGGAGATGGTGCGGGAGACGAAGGAACCATCGCTGTCCTCCGACTCTCTGCCATTCGTACAAGCACGAGTACGTACCGTACGGTGCCCATGTTATACCACGAACGCCTGCCGGAGCTGKTCCTGCCCCATCGTTCCGGCACAGCGCTGTTGCCGATTCTCCGCGTTTGTGGTGGGTTAACAGGCATCCAACAAAATGTACCGCATCGTTAAAATAACAAAATACTGTACGTACGGTTGTTAGTTTCGTCTTCTTTCTCCAAMCGGAATAGATCTCGCAATTTTTTCATGATTGCATTCACTATCCCCATCCTTAGTTGCGCATACCATTCCCAGTGGTTTTTGGAGGTGCAGCGTCGAAATCGAATCCGTTTGGCAAGTTTTTTTTTGTCCCTCCAAGTTTCCTTTTCTTCCCTCTCTCTCATTCACTCYGAGGACCAATGACTTTCCTACCGTTGGCAATCTCAGTAGTAGGGTACGTACAGTACTACCGTACTGTAATTACGGTACAAAACGTTGCGGTTCAAACATGCCGCTGGTTGTTCTCGAAAGAAACAATCGATTTCCAGTCTCGAACAACAATCATACCGGTACACTCTGCCTCTGCCTGTGAACCTACAGCAGTTCCGCACCATTCGCGACAATCAGCGCAGCGATTGCCGATTCCCGATCGACCGACCAACACCAGGAACCAGCACTCGACGGCCTTCCAACCGAGGCAAACAGCAGCCCAGCGAGCACCACCCAACCCAACCCAACCCAACCATCTTCGGCAGAAACCAACAAACAGGCAGCACCGCTGGTTGTCGCACAAACACACCGCACCACCCGCCGAGCAGGTTCGGAGCGTTTCCACCCATGTCCTCCTCCTCCTCCTCTTCCGCGGCCCCCTCCGCCGATCCGGTGATCCGCAACCGAGACATGCTGGCCCTCAAGAATTACATCACGGCCAAGGACAGCAATCCGCGGCAGGGCCTCTCCGAAACGACCCTCCTCATCGACCTGACCCACTCGAACCTCGTCCAGAAACACATCGAGATCCGCTTCGACAAGCACGACCGCCTCCGGGACGTCCGAGAAAAGATCCACCAGAAGACGGGCACCGCCCCGCACTTCCAGACCCTCCTCCTWAAGTGCAGCGGGCAGACGCTCTTCGAGATCGACGCCACCGACGAATCCTACGACCGGCACAAGCTGGGCTTTTTCTTTGGGGATCCCTACGCAAACTGCGGCCTGGAGGTCCACTGCATCGACACGAACCCGCTCAGCGGGAGCCGCAACGGCCAGTACGAGGACGTCTCGCTGGTCGAAAAATACCGCATGTCCGACGAGGAGTACGACAAGCGGAAGGGGACCCTGCGGGACTGGGCCAAGGTCCAGCTGGAAAAAGACGAAAGCTTTACCCTGGCCAGGCACGCAAGGGAGCACCGGGAAAAGGTCGAGGCCCTCCGCGAGTTCAAGCTCGGGAACTCCCCGCTCCCCTACGGCTACGTCGTCGACTCGACCGGCAAGGACATCGTCAAGGGGGACGAGCCGGACTACGACGACCTGGTGGAGCAGAGGAAGCTTAGCCAGCGCAAGCAGGCTTGCGACCATGGCTCGAACGAGACCTCCGTCGAGGGGATCTTTGTGGGCGACCGGTGCGAGGTGATGCCCGGCAGCCGCCGGGGCAGGGTGTCCTACGTCGGGCCGGTCCGGGAGCTGGACGACCGGCCGGATTCCTTCTGGGTCGGGGTGACCTTCGACGAGCCCGTCGGAAAGACCGACGGGGCCGCCATTGACCCGCGCACCGGAGCGAGAAGGTCCTACTTCGAGGCGCCCCCGGGATACGCGAGTTTTGTAAGGGGAAAGAACGTGGAGGTCGGGGATTTCCCCGAGCTCGATCTCTTTGGCGACGACGACGACAGCAGCGACGAGGACGAATTGTAGCGCGGGCCGGGCCGGGCCGCCCGGGATCCGGTCTCTGCGTTCCTCGTTCTTTGTCGCCAATCTCCGAAGTCCACGTGTCGTTCTGTGCCAGGGCGTTCGATGGATCGAATGGACCAGACAACGAGACGGGCATCTATGGTTCGGTAGTGGATTGTGGAAGATAGATTGACCGCGTTCCGGAGCTTTTTGTTCGTCTGGAATTGCTGACAGCGGATTGCGGTCATTGGCACTGGCACGTAGAACACGAGAAGACCAAACAACTTGGATCGCAGACTCGGAGTCACTCCTGCCGGTGATTCTGGATTAAATTTGTGAAACGTCTAGATTCCGGATCTATTATTGTTTGTAAGCTACTCTGCGATCAGGTCGACACAAGAGCGTTCAGAACACAGCACCAAGCTACTTCAGCTGGGCCTGCGAGAACTTCCAGGTCCAAAATGATTACCTTAATGCTACAGTTTAGAAGACTCTGTGTCATGCTTTACCAAGTCGCGAAAATTTTTGACGGATCTCGTATCCCCCGTGAATAAATAACGTTAGTCGCACCATCGTAGCAAGGGATCATGTTTGCTGTAGGAGATGGTATTATGAATACGTTCGAAAAACTTGATTCTCGCACTAAAAGTTATCGATTGGTTGCCATTTTTAATTTTATGATCCCATTCTACAGATCACAACAGAGAGTTTTCTCCCCATTTCCAGCATGGTTTGCAACTGGCTTCCCTGCAGAGAAAGAAGTAGACTTGGATCTGTGCTGCGGGAAGAATTGAAAACTAAATTTGCAGATTTTGTTCAGTGTTCTAGACTAATGATGGYATTGTTAATTATCGCCAATGGCATCATTGAATTAGTGTGGAAAGTTGGTATGGATCGTATTCCTATATTTTATTTTTGCGCTATGTTTCCCGTCTTCATTTTTTCCATCTCAACACAACCCGAGTTTTCAATTGAAAGTTGATCTTCGGGTACACTGGTTGAGGAGTCACAGTAGTTCTTTGGTTATTCGAAAAAAGTATTGATCTCGCCAAAGAGTGCAAGTGACTTAACACCATGATAAGATATCAAGAAACTGTTTACCAGGCTCCTCCGAAGTTCCCACCACCGCCTCCGTAGCCGCCGCCTCCGTAGCCACCACCGTAACCACCGCCGCCGCCGTAGCCGCCGCCACCACCGTAGCCGCTGTTGCGATTCCCGCCACGACTTCCACCATCGTTGTGGCTCTTACGGTAATCACGTCCTCCGAAGTTGTTTCGGCCACCGCCACTTCGACGGCCACCTCCACCACGGCCACTGTACGAAGCCATCTGGTTCAACCATTGAGGTACTTCTTGCTCATTCTCGTCGAGCATGTCACGAAGTTCGCGAATGATTCCAGAGTTCTTTTCGTTCACGAAAGAGAGAGCGTTACCAGTATTTCCAGCACGTCCTGTACGACCAATTCTGTGCACATAGTCATCAATATTGGTTGGCAAATCGTAATTAACTACTTGGGTGACGTTCGGAATATCCAAACCACGACTCGCAACGTCGGTGGCAGCCATGACTGGAGTGTTTCCCCGCTTGAAGCTTCGTAGGGAGTCTTCACGTTCACGCTGGGACTTGTCTCCGTGAATGGAACAGGCTGGGAATCCATTTTCGCACAAAACATCCTCGAGATAATCGCAATTACGCTTTGTTTCAGTGAAGATCAAAATCAAACCATCTTCGATAGTCAAGAGAAATTTCATCAASGAATCCAACTTGTCACGTTCTTCGACGTACTCGATCTTTTGGGTTACATCCTTGGAGGCAGAACCGACACGACCAACGGTCAAGAAGATGTAATCACGAAGGAAATCACTAGCCAAACGTTGAATTTGTGCGGGGAAGGTCGCACTAAACATCATCGTTTGGCGGTCATCACCTTGGGGCATACCAGATTCTTCAACGATGCGACGAATTTGAGGTTCTAGAGAAATTACGAAGAGTTAGAAAATCAAATTGATACGAAGGAGTCGTACATGTTTCCAAACAGAAATTGTCCGTTCAGATCTTATGTCGGTACTTACCAAAACCCATGTCAAGCATACGATCAGCTTCGTCCAAAACCAAGAACTTGATATTTTCCATGCCCAATCGGCCACGTTCGATCAAATCCACCAATCGTCCAGGGGTTGCTACCAACAAATCGCATCCACGTTCGATTTGACGGAGCTGGTCACGGACTTCGGCACCACCATAGATGCACACAGTTGCGATGCCGGTGCAGTAAGTGAAACGGCGTGCTTCGTCGAAGATTTGCTGGGCGAGTTCACGGGTTGGAGCCATGACCAAGGCTTCCGGGTAGACCTGACGTCGGCCTCCGGCAGGAGATTCGCTTCCACCCTTGGCACACATCGACATGATGATGGGAAAAAGGAATCCAGCTGTTTTACCACTACCAGTTTGAGCGCAAGCCATCAAATCACGACCGGCACTACCGATAGGACAGGAGTACTTTTGTACTGGAGTGGGCCTGGTGTATCCACAGAGCTGGGTACAGCGGAAGAGATCGGCACCAATGGTTTCCTCTGAGTAAATATCGATGGGTTCGGGTGCGTTCTCTCCGGAAACTTCGACGGGAATTTTGTCGTAGTTGTCAAAGTTGATACCGGTCGTTTGGTGGTCGGAAGTGTAGAGGGTGCGTTCCAAACGTGGGTCGGGCTGCATGTCGCCGTGGAATCCACGTTCGTTTTTGCGAGCATTTGACCCACGTCCATAGCCACCGCCACTTCTTCCGCCGTAGCTTCCTCTGCGATCTCCTCCTGAGTCTCCTACGTCGCTCCAACGTGAGTTGCGACGAGGCTCGCCACCTCCGCGGCCTCCACCGTAGCTTCCACGTCGATCATCTCCGTAACTTCCTCTGCGATCGTTGCCATATGATCCTCCACGTCGGTCGTTGTTGTAACCTCCGCCTCGATTGTTATCGCGGGGTTCGTTTCCGCCACCACTGCTCTGAGAGTTTCTCAGATGCGGTGGCACATATTTAGTACCTTCGATTTTCGTTGTTGTAGTTGCAGTTGTAGTCGTCGACGACATCGTAGTTGTTTGTGGTACATTCAAGAACGTACATATGCCACGAAGTGGAGGGGATGAAGCGATGGAGAGGTGAGAAGATGATATTTCGCGTGAAAGTTTTCATCGTGGTTTTGGCACGATTCAACACTAAATTGCTTTGCTGCTCGAATTTCGACATTAGCAAGGACGTCAGAGAGCCATTGCAAATGCGTTCGAAGGCTGGTGAAATATTTTAAGTTCCGGTTTCGATACCTCCTCTTGTCGACGTTTAAAGCCAGACAAATTCAAAGACAAACTGAATTAATGATACAAAAGAAACCATCATTGTTTCATTCCCGAAGACTGTAACGCGAAACCCTTCGAACTCTGTTCCGAGATAAATAAATACGTCGTACAAATTTGACGCAAAAAACTAAAGTTCGAACTCTTTTCGGTTGGCGAGCAGACGTATCGGCTGAAAACCCAAACGGGCCACGAAGTTCTTGTGCTCGTCGCAACAACATCCACTGTGTTTGCTGTTTTCGAACGCACTCTCTACCGATGGTGCATGGCATTAGACCTTGTGGCCTCGACAAAATAGAAGAGCACATCATTCACATCAATACTGTTTGATCAGGCATGTGCTTCTCGTAGTCTTACCATTTTGCATTACAAGGGCCGTGTATACTTCCGCGCAACTTAGGTCAAACACCGAAGTTAAATTTGTGGGAGAGGGAAAGCGCAGAAATTAAGCGCTTCGTTTCGCAGGTTGGTTATTCGCTACCGATACGCTGTCCGTCGTGCGTCAAATAATTCGAATGTCAGCAACTGCTTCAGAAGAACCGAAGACGTCATTGCTCGTGGAAAAAAATGGTGAACACAACGCGCGACTTCCGGTGCGGTCTGCAAAAGCAAGCAGTGTTGTGTGGTGAAAAGAATTTTTGGTCAGGCCGTCGTCAGTTACTTTCTTTGGTTCTCTCGAACGCAGAATAGACTGATTTTTTATTTCGATTTTTTTCAAATGAATCCTAGTACGAGGAAGCGTGGTACGAATTTGCACTCAGGGGTCATAAATTTAGGAGGGGTCCGCAACGCCTGTAGGGTCGAACGCGCATTGTTTTGCATGAGAGAGAAAAATTCTCATTCCATCCTCGGTACAAAGAAGAAAAATTCAGCTCCAAGGATTTTTCCAGCTCTCATTTTCACTGCATTAGTACTAGTACAAGTAGTAGTAGTAGTAGTAGTAGTAGTAGTAGTAGTAGTAGTACTACTACTACTACTACTACTACTACTACTACTACTAGTAGTAGTAGTAGTAGTAGTAGTACTGCAAGTACTACTACTACTACTACTGCTATTACTACTAGTACTACTCCTGGGGACTCGCAACTGAGACCCTTTTACTATACTAGTACCACCATACTTCTTGTTGCAAAAAAGAAGGGCTCAGAGATTGTTCAGAAATATACTAGTAGTTTTTTTCAGGTTTTTGGGTTTTATGTGCCACTTAGTAAAAAATGTTGAGATATGGAACAACTTAATGAGGTGTATTCTTTGTGTAGTACGCACATTGAGGCAGACCACTACATATTGCTGCACCATGCATACTACTAGTAGTAGCTAGTAGTAGTCATTGTTGTCTTTCCCTTCTAGTACTACTAGTG